ACACACACACACACACACACACACACACACACACACACACACACACAGAGGAAACTGAACACAACGGCAACTGATTGTGTAGCTGTCTATCACAATGCAAGATTTTCAACCATGAATCTGAAAATTCAGATGACTCAAAGGCCTTCCAAAAAATTGTTCATATTTTTATATCTGCTTATCTTTGACATATTTTCTAGGGAAAAATGTTTATCTCTAGATATTAGCATACAAATTATGTACAGCTTAGCCTCAAGTTGTAAGACCTGCAGTGATAAAGCACCTTCATTTTGAGCTAAACATTTTACAGCATTTTAAAAATGATTGAAGGCTAAAATTTAGGAATAATGAGAAAATATATTTACTAATTACGAACCATCAATTGGGTAACTTCAGATGATCTAAAGTAATACACTTTATGGCCAGGTGCAGTCCCAGCATTCTGGGAGGCTGAGGCGGCAGATCACTTGAGGCCAGGAGTTTGAGACCAGCCTGGCCAACATGGTGAAACCCCTTCTGTACTAAAATACAAAAATTGGCCAGGCGTGGTGGTAATGCCTGTAAGTCCCAGCTACTGAGGTAGCTAAGGCATAAGAATCACTTGAACCTACGAGGCAGGAATTGTAGTGCCACTCACTCCAGCCTGGGTGACAGAGTGAGACTCTGTCTCAAATACATACATACATAAACACATACATACACATATACATACATAAAAGCAGCAGCAGCAGCAGTAATAGCATACTTCAGCTGTCATTTTAGTCCCCTTAAAAAGAAAAAATAGGCCGAGCACCATAGCTCACGCTTGTAATTCCAGCACTTTGGGAGGCTGAGGCAGGTGGATTGCTTTAGCCCAGGAGTTCAAAACCAGCCTGGGCAACATAGCAAGACCTTGTCTCTACAAAAAAAAAAAAAAAAAAAATTAGTGGGGCATGGTGGCACATGCCTATAGTCCCACCTACTCAGGTGGCTGAGGTGGGAGAATCAATTGAGACCCGGGGTAAAGGCAACAGTGAGCCATGATCGCACCACTGCACTCTAGACTGGGCAACAGAACAAGATCCTGTCTAAAAAGAAGAAAGAAAGAAAGAAAAAATTGAAAAGTTCATTTCACTGGATAAACTTCCAACTACCCTTCTCCAAAAATTATAAAAATATGTCCTGAAATTTTTTTTCATTTTTTTCCCTTAGTTTATACATCTAAACTTAGCTAGCATAAAATTCTAGATATACATTTGGAAATAAAGGAACTAGAAAGATAAATGCTACATTAAAATGAACAACTTTCTTGAAATAAAATTACAAGTTTTTATTAGAAAACAGTACCATATAATTTAAAAAATAATGTTATATAAATTATAAATGCACACAGAAATATGCTTGCTACTTACAGGAAATGGCTCCAATCCCTCCTGAATCACAAAGCCTTCAATAACATGGGTTAGGATCTGTGGTTTAACAATAGCCTGTGGAGGCTTGTTCTCTATACTGGGAATGCTACTGTGCAGAGATGTACTGTTACTCCTTGTGGTGGCAGCTGGAAGTAACAACGGAGGTGGTGGAACAGAAACGTGTGAGGGATCTGATGGAGATTTAATTACTGAAGCACTGACTGATGCCACAGCAGGTAATTCCACATGCTCTAAAAAAAAAAAAAAAAAAAAAAAACCAAAAAGTCATTTAAAAAATTTTTTAGCATTTTGCCCAAGTAATATGAGAGAGAATTCATGAATAAACAATAACAACAATAGTTAATATCTGGTACTTCCAAAAACTGTTCTAAGGTAGAAGCTACTATTATTTCCGCTTTATAGAAGAGGGTAACTTGCTCAAAGAGGGAACTTATTATTCAAACCTTTGTTTAACAAACTGACCGGGCACAATGGCTCACACCTGTAATCCTAGCACTTTGGGAGGCTCAGGTCAGGAGTTCAAGACCAGCCTGGGCCAACATGGTGAAGCCCCACCTCTACTTAAAAAAAAAAAAAAAAAAACAAAATTAGCAGGGCATGGTGGCGCATGCCTTGTAATCCCAGCTACTTGGGAGGCTGGGTCAGAATTGTTTGAACCTGGGAGGCAGAGGTTGCAGTGAGCCGAGGTTGTGCCACTGCACTCTAACCTGGGCAACGAGTAAAGCTTCATCTCAAAAAAACAAAATTGTTCCCATAAGACATGAAAATGTTTTAAGATATAAATTTACAAATAAAAATGGTTGTTTGGTTTTGTTTTGATGTTTTCTTAATGTTAAGGTATTAAATCCCCCATGTTCCCATTTATATATTCCAAATGGTATAGGTGCGGCAGTGGAGTACTTTCAAAATATGCTTAAACGAAATGGAGTCATGAAATCCACAGAATAGTTTTTTTTGTTGTTGTTTTTTGAGACAGTGTCCTTGTCGCCCAAGCTGGAGTCCAATGGCATAATCAAGGCTCACTGCAGCCTCAACCTCCCAGACTCAGGTGATTCTCCTGTCTCAGCCTCCTGAGTAGCTGGGACTACAGGTGTATGCCATCATGCCTGGCTAAATTTTTTTAATGGTTTTTTGTGTGTGTGTGTGAAGCTGGGGTCTCACTTTGTTGCCCACCTGGTCTGGAACTCCTAGACTCAAGTGATCCTCCTGCCTTAACCACTCAAAGGGCTGAGATTACAGGTATGAGCCTCCATGTCCAGCCTTCACAGCAGTTATATCCATAAATTAACCTAGTTTCACCAAATAACCCACCAAAATTAAGTGTACTGGAAAACCTGTTTAAAGTCACACTATCTACAAAAAGCTAAAAAAAAGAAAGAAAGAAAATCACCAGAAAATGTTAATTTGCCAATTTGTAGGAATGAATACACAACTGTACAAATGTACTATCAATCTGAAGAACTTCACAATAATCCTATCTCACATACCAAATCTTCACATATACTTCTAGGGGACAAAGGATAAAAGATTAAAAAGTCTGAAGTGGAACTGAAAGGAATCTTTCTGTAGAAAGGAAAAAATAAATCTATGGAGAACTGAAACCTAAATTAAACTTTTAATGTCCCTTACAGATATAGAGATAAGAGATACTTTGTTACTTTTAAAATATAAAGCTGCATTAAGTTTAACTGGTTTGTTCAAGAAATAATGCTTGCGGTATATTCTAATTAATATCTAGATCATATGTATGAATGTACCAAACTTATAGTCCTAAATTTTGTTCAAAACAGAGCTGTAAATTACTTTTTGAAGACGGTAATAGCTATTTACATAAGTTGTAAAAATCGAAAACATGAGAAACATTCATGTATTACAATGGAAAAGAAACACAATTATTACACCCTCTAGATTTAAGAAAAGTGTGAGAGAAAACCCAAGTTCTAACTGGTTTTGCCACAGATCTCTGTCTATTCTCAATATCATTTACTGAACAAGAGATGTGAGATTTTTCTACCTTTTTGTATAGATGCTTTTCACTTTCAAAAAATTTTAAAGATTCGTAACAACTGATCTGGATGGAAACAAGTCTATTTCTGCAAGTTAGTTTATTCCAATATTTGATGAGAGGTATTGTTAAAAAAAAAAAAAAAAAATCAGCCTGTCTTTTAGTTCCCCCTTAAATATTACAGAGGAGTAGTAAGTATGAAGTAAATTATAGGAAAAATCAAAAGTCTACATTGTACTTCGACAATTTAGCCAGAGAGATGTGCTTGACAGGATCTCAGACTACATTCCTGGGGAAAACATGGAAAGATACTCTTGTGTTCCAATACTTGAGAACTGTTTAAACTTCCTTCAAGTACTATTAGTAATGCTTATTTTGTAATTAAATCACAACCATAACGTAAGTTTACTATTCAATAAAACTTAATTTTTTTGTAACTCTAATCCTATGACAGATTACCAATAAAACTTACATTTCTGCCTTTAAATCAAAACTCCAGGAAATCTGCAGCAACACAAATCCATTTCAGTGTAAATCACAAAGATCTGATACTATAAATTTTCTTACATCTTTTGAGATACAATTTTGAATAAAAATGCAGTAATAGGCTGGGCGCGGTGGCTCACGTCTGTTAATCTCAGCACTTTGGGAGGCCAACACAGGTGGACAACCTGAGGTCAGGCGTTCAAGACCCACCTGGCCAACATTGGCGAAACCTTGTCTCTACTAAAATACAAAAATTAGTGCGTATATACCAAAAAAAAAAAAAAAGAAAAAAAAACTAGTGCCTGTAATCCCAGCTACTCTGGAGGCTGAGGCAGAAGAATCACTTGAACCCAGGAGGCAGAAGTTGAGTTGCAGTGAGCCAAGATCATGCCACTGCACTCCAGCCTGGGCAACAGAGTCAAACTCCGTCTCCAGAAAAAAAAAAAAAAAAAAGGCAGTAATATAAAACTCATTTTAAATATTTTATATAAATTTATTGACTAAATGTTTTTCTACTTTTCAGGGGTAGAAAAATGAAAAGAAAATTAAATTTCCCCTTCTATGCTCTCTATAAGAATTGTATTAGTAGTAAGAGAATAAAAGCTTGAGAGAAAAGAAGGGAAGGGGATGAAGCACGCTGAAGAAAGCAGAGGGCAAGGGTTGCCTAGACTGCAGACAGGGTCAGTGTTCCATAACAATTTGTTTCCATGCCTGTTGTAGTAGTCCTTCTTAACTGAAAATGATCATGAGGGCCATGAGATAATCAATAGAACAGAACACATACAACAAAGCCAGAACCAAGATTACTATTATTCAGATCAGGGGTCAAAAAACTTTCCATAAATGGCCATATGGTTTCTGCAATTACTCAACTTTGTGGTTAGGAAAAAGCAGCCACAAATAATATCTAAACAAATGAGTGTGTGGCTATGTTTCACAGAACTTTATTGATTGACTGATTGAGAGAGTTTCACTCTTGTTGCCCAGGCTGGAGTGTAATGGCACGATCTCTGCTCACAGCAACCTCTGCCTCCCGGGTTCAAGTGATTCTCTTGCCTCAGCCTCCCTAGTAGCTGGGATTACAGGGATGCACCACCATGCATGATCGATTTTTGTACTTTGAGACGGGGTTTCTCCATGTTAGTGATGCTGGTCTCGAACTCCTGTCCTCAGGTGATCTGCCTGCCTTGGCCTTCCAAAGTGCTGGGATTACAAGCGTGAGCCACCACACCCAGCTGAACTTTATGGACAATAAAATTTGAATTTTACATACATTTTCATGACAAGAACGATTACTCTTTTGACTGTTTTCAATCATTCAGAAATGTAAAAGCCATCCTTAGCTTGGACCATACAAAAAAAAGCAGCAAGCTGTGCATGGAAAGCACCTACAGTACCAGCCAGCTATTCAGGGGGCTGAGGCAGGAGGATTACATGAACCCAGGAGTTAGAGGCCAGCCTGGGTAATATAGTGAGACCCTGTCTCTTAAAAAGAGAAAAAAAAAGAAAGAAAGAAAGAAAATAAGCAACAGAAAAGATCTGAACAGTGAGCAGTGTGCCAACTTCTAATCCTAACATTCACAAATCTTAAAAACATGAAACACTTATGTTTTTTTGTTTTTTTTTTTTGAGACGGAGTTTTGCTCTTGTTACCCAGGCTGGAGTGCAATGGCACGATCTCGGCTCACCGCAACCTCCGCCTCCTGGGTTCAGGCAATTCTCCTGCCTCAGCCTCCCGAGTAGCTGGGACTACAGGCACGCGCCACCATGCCCAACTAATTTTTTGTATTTTTAGTAGAGACGGGGTTTCACCGTGTTGACCAGGATGGTCTCGATCTCTTGACCTCGTGATCCACCCACCTCGGCCTCCCAAAGTGCTGGGATTACAGGCGTGAGCCACCGCGCCCAGCCTGAAACACTTATGTTTAGTAAAATATCTAGGATACACAGTAGCTTTGAAAGAGGCACATACAGGTGATTCATTTGAACTCATAAACACCACTGAAGTAGTGAATAAGAATTTGAATGGTTAAGCACAAGAACATTTTTTTTAAGAGCCAAGAGTGTCGCTCTGTTGTATAGCCGAACTCAAACTCCAGGGCTCAAGTGATCCTCCTACCTCAGCCTCTCACGAAGCTGGGACTCCAGGCATGCACCAACAAGCCCAGCTAAGACTTTTCTTTAATCCATATCTCTTCTAAGAATTTAGTGAGGTTTAACTTAAGTACCATAAATATTAAAGAACACTTTTAAAAGCATTTACTCAAACCATTGTGAGGAACATCACATATGGCTTAGAATATTTCATGATTTTTGGAAAGTCTAATTTAAATCTTTTGAAAGAATTTTCATTTATCTAATTTTTCAACTAGAAATAGCCTGATAAATAAATGTAAAAGAGCATATGAAACATGTCTGTAAAAACCACTAAAATTAGAAGCCTGAAATGACAGGTTTTCATTTGGATGGTACAGAATAATTTATAAGCTACTGAACTTCCCTGCTATTAAAGAATTTTCCAGGCTGGGCATGGTAGCTCATACCTGTAATCCCAGCATTTTGGGAAGCAGAGGCAAGAGGATCCAGGAGTTTGAGACAAACCTGGGCAACAGAGTGAGACCCCATCTCTACAAAAATCAAAACTTAGCCAAGTGTGCTGGCAGGTTCCTGTAGACCTAGCTATTTGGGTCTTCTTCTAAATCACTCGAGCCCAGGAGATAGAGGCTCCGATGAGCTATGATTGTGCCAGGCTATACTCCAGCCTGGATGACAGACAGAGTGAGACCCTGTCTCAAAAAAAACCAAAATCTTAAATTCAAATCTGTGTTTGTTACAATTAACTACCATAACAAATTCATTTAAGATCACGTCTAGTGAAAAAACAGGCTGAGTGCAGTGGTTCACACCTGTAATCCCGACACTCTGCAAGGCCAAGGCAGGAGAATCACTACAGGCCAGCAGTTCAAGACCAGTCTAAGCAACATAGTAAGACCTCATCTCTATAAAAAAAATAAAAACTTAGCCAGGTATAGTGGTACGCACCTGTCGTCTCAGTTACAAAAAGAGGGGAAAGGAGGGGAGAGAAAAGAAAATCAACTTTTCCTATTATTAACATTTATCAAATAGAAAAATTCCCACAAAGTTTGGTATTTTTCTCACCTAACAAAGGATGTTCAGAAGTCAAATCTTCTCCTCTCCCCACAGTTATAGCTGCTGGAGACAAAGTGGGTGGTGGTGGGGTTCTATCCATCCGGACACATTCATCTGACTCTTCCGGCATTTCTTCTTCACATACATCTTCCACTTGATAAACCTGCAATGACAAACCACACTGCCTTAGAATGTTTCCAAAACCAAATTTAATCAGGTGTCATTAATTTCAGAAAATGAAATTCTGTGTATTAAATTCAAAAACAAAGCAAAAATGACTACTCTGACAGACTGAAAGGAAAACTTCGAAATTGCTCAAATGAAGTTTTTCTTATTTCTTGATAATATCTGACTGAAAGCAAACTGTGGATCAGTATCTAGGCCAAAAATCACTACAGTTTCCAAAAAGATGATAGCCAGGTCTAGATATAGTTTTAATTTTGATAATTCAAAAATACAAATAAAATAAAGATTTGGGGAATTCAACTGTTTTTGTTAACTTCTAATTGTCATAAGTTAAAACAAATACTAACATTTTTCACAGGCACACTAAGTAAATTCCCACAACGGTACATATTAGGACATGCAGGATTTTATCCCAGACTCTTTCTTATTGTTATGTGATTTAAAGATTAAGTTATAAAAAGTAACATCTGAGAATCTACAAAAAAGATATGCAATTATATCTCTCCTTTTCTGTTCTACTCAAGAATCGAATCAATCTTTTACAAAGTAATACATAAACAGAAAATATCCTTCCTTGAAAAACACACATACACACACACACAGCCTAAGCTATCTGACGCATTATTTTTTTATTTTTTTATATCGCTCCATACTTACGGGAAAAAATTTTTAAGTCTATAACTTAACTACCTTGTTAGCCGTCTGTAAAGATGATACTTAAGAAGGAAAATGGGGCCAGGCGCAGTGGCTCACGCCTATAATCCAGCTCCATCATTGCTCACTGCAGCCTTGACCTCCCAGGCTGAGCCTCCTGAGTGGATGGAACCACAAATGTTCAACAACATACCCAGCTAATTTAAAAATGTTTTTTGGAGAGCTGAGGTCTCAAACTCCTGGGCTCAAGTGATCCTCCTGCCTTGGCCTCTCAAAGTGCTGGGATTACAGGTATGAGCCACTGCACCTAGCCCCATAAATGTTAACTAATAAACAAAAAAACTTTCAACATTCACAATAAACCTTTCAGTGACATCTAATATTGTATGCAATTTAAATCAAACTATTTTAAAAGTTTGATGTTTTAAAGTATATAAAATTATATATAAAAGCGATCAGGATTTCTGAAACCAGCAAAACCTATGTGTTATAAAAGGGGCAATAAAGTTTAATCTATAAGAATATAATAGTAAGCTATAAAAGAACAATAGGTGATAGTCAAAAATAAAAAAATCTAAGTCTCCACTAAGAATAAAATATCTTTTCTTCTATACAACTTAAAAATGATACTGTTACTGGATAATTTTTTATCAAATATAATACTATGGCAAATATAAAATTCAGAACTGTGATCTGAATCAGCTACAAAGTAGGCAATATTTTTTAAAGTTATTTGCTCACAACCCTGCATCTGGAAATCAGTTTCACTAAGAGAGACTCCTTGCCTCACGCCTGAATCTCAGAAGTGAAAGCAGTCATTTGTTATTGTTTGGAGCAACAATTATATCTGCTAGATCTGTTCATGACAATAACAGCTTGTTTTAAATGATAATGCCCAATATAGGTAAAATCATTCTAAAATGTGTCTGGGGGTTAAGAAAAAAAATCTTCTAGTCCCCAAGGGTAAGTGCTATCATGGTGAATACTTTAATTTGCCTTAGTGGCAGAGATGTTAATTCAGAAATAATGATACAAGTATGGTTTTATCAACCAGTTCAATTTTATCTATGTAGCGTTCCTTCAGTATAATAGATAGTACTTTTCTTCCAAAGAATGTGATCTTTGCTTAAAATGCTGAAACTCTCTTTAATCCCAATACAGTAACATATTATTCAAACATCTGCTAGAGTATCTTAAGAAATCAAAGCTTGATCATACATAGAATTCTGATTTTTTAAAAAACAGAAGAGTTTAAAGGATGAAAAGAGCCATTAACACAAACAGCATATTTTGAAATAATCCATCAAATACTGTAAAATATTTTTCACTCATTATACTTAAAGCTAACTATACGTACTTCCAGAGCTCTCATAAAGGCTAAGTGCATGAATAAAAGAAGTACACAAAAACAAATCTGTTACAGACATCTGGCACAATAAGCATAAACAAATCTAAATGCAACAACAAAAATGCTGAAAAAAGCAAAGTGGAGATTTTGCTCACTCACAAGATCATTAGGAAACTGCACATCACAATTACTGTTTAGCTCTTAACTATAACTATTCTAAAAATAACAAAGACTGCCAAACTTACCTCAATAAAGTCCAATATTCCCATCTGTTTCCCTTTCCTAAATAAACTGAGGAATATTTATTAGTTCTAAATTGTCTACCCTCAAGATATTTATATCCAAATGTCAATTAAAAAAACTTTATTAAGTATCTTTAAAAAGATACTGATTTTACCTTGAAAATTTCCACTTATCTTTTAAATGTCCACGTCTCTTAAAAAATATATCTTTCTACCTTTAAGTATTTGAAACAACCAGAAAAGTACTGTGAAGAAATGTGTTTTTATGGAAAAAAAAAATAACACATTTGGTCAAAGCTAATAAAAATAAATAAAAGTTTAATAAAAAGCTATATTACTCAAAGAAAGGTAAAAGATTAAAAAATATTTAGAAAGGTAACATGGAAACATCCATAGTAAGCATAATAACCACATCAGTGATAGCAGAGAAAGTTATTAAATCATTTTTTAAACTTCCAAAACTGTTTTAAAGTAGAAGTGCAGGAAGCAACAAAATATTTTTGGCTTTAGTTTGTAAAGCATTATGCTAATACTATACATATATATGTGTATGTACATATATACACACATATATACACACACATATATATGGGGGGGGGAGAGAGAGAGAGAGAGTGTGCGAGCGAGCACACGCATACGCAAGCGAGAGAGAGCATAACCTCTGCCTCCCGGGTTCAAGCCATTCTTGTGCCTCAGCTTTTCAAGTAGATGAGATTACAGGCATTAGCCACCATGCCCAGCTAATTTTTTTATTTTTTGTAGAGATGGTGTTTCTCCATGTTGGCCAGGCTGGTCTCAAACTCCTGACCTCAAGTGATCCACCTGCCTCACCCTCCCAAAGTGATGGGATTACAGGCATGAGGCACCATGCCCAGCCTTATATTTCTGTCCCAAATTTGCTCCTCCAAAGCTTCCCCTAACGTAAACAATTAAAAAAATATAAGGACTATAAAGAAGTTTTTTTTTTTTTTTAACTTACTTTTGTCTTTATTTTTAAATGGTATTTTTTTCTTTTCTATTATGCCCTGCCTGGACACTGCCTTATTTTTTACTGGTTAAAAACCAAATCACTGAACTAGGTAGTAAGAAAGTAATTTAAATTTAAAAAATTTGTAAAGGTACTGTGTATTTCCTAAACACGTGCTTCTGTAACAATATCCATTGTAAACTCCAAAAATCGACTGAAAGAAAATATATACATGATAACTGAATGATAAACCTTAAAAAAATTTTGCTTTCCCTTTTTTTTTTTTTTTTGAGACAGAATCTTGCTCGGTCTCCCAGGCCACAATCTCGGCTCACTGAAACCTCTACCTCCCAGGTTCAAGCAATTCACCTGCCTCAGCCTCCCAAGTAGCTGGGATTACGGGCATGGCCGCCACGCCCAGGTAATTTTTGTACATTTTTGTGAAGACAGACAAGGTTTCGCCATGTTTGCCAGGCTGGTGTCAAACTCCCTGAGCTCAGGTGATCTGCCCACCTCGGCCTCCAAAAGTGCTGGGATTATAGGCGTGAGCCACCACACCCAGCCAAGTTCTGTTTTTAATAAAAATTTATAGAAAATAGAATTCAATCTCTTTGTGCCTATTAAGATCAGTCAGAATGACAAGAATACAAAAATCTATACATTTGTATTATGAAAACCAAAATGTTTTTGCATTAAAAGAACAATGAGGATAATCCAAGTATGAAAACAAAAAACAAGTATTAATAATAAAAAAAATAATTTGAAACTCCTTTCTGAGCGTTTATTAGCTTTTAGGTGATAAAATCTCTTCAATGAAATGTAATACAAAGCCTCCCTTTAGGAAAATTCTTCTCCTCAGTTACAAATTATGAACTTGACCCTTCTGACTAAACAATTAGAGACCTTTATTTTATTTTACAAATAAAATTTTACAGTTTTATTTTACAAATCTTAAAATGTCTTTTAGAGAATGTTTAAAGAAAAGTATTTTTCAACATAATTTTCTTTCCAGGCAACAAGTAATTGTTTTTAGAGGTTCATTCTTAAAATCCCACTACAACCTCAATTATTCAAAACTTTTACTCCTCTAAATGGATTTTTTCATCCTTAGTATTAAATTCTTCTACCAAGATTTTTGAGCTTTTTAAGTGAGAAACGTTTTAAGTATATTATTTTCCCTTAGTATAGATAAAAAACTGTAAGTTTAATAATTCTATAAGATGGCCTACAATGAAATTTTTGGCAAATCTGGACTCTCTCGTAAATTTTTTTTTTTTTTACAAAATTTCAACTTCAAAGTATAATTTTACCAAAAAACTACATCACATAAGCATATCCCAACTTGAAACAAAATCCCCAAAGGTCCAGGACTTTAGAATGCATAAAACCAAAAGGGTTAGGCTAGATAAACCATACGTTTTGAGAACATACAAGCCAACAGAAGGGATCTATGAAGGATAATCACCTTAAGAGAAAAAACTTTGTGCAGATGACACTGGTTCAAATGCATTCCCTTGGGGAAAAAAAATCAACTCTGTAAAGATAGCAGATGGATTTGTTTAAATAGTAATAAAATTAACGAGGGACTTTAATTACCATCACAAATTATAAAGCATGCAACCATACTAAACAAACAATGGCATTTTTTTTTTGTCCGTACAGCATGTTTGTCAGAACACTGACATATGGAAATTTCAAGCTTTTTTAGTTCATAGGCATTTAGATCTTGCAATAAAACATAGTGTGGGAAAAAAAGTTTTTACTTTCAGTTCAGCAAGAAAGTCAAAGAGCTTCCAAGGGCTTACCACTGGTGGATCAACAGGTGCTGGTGGTTGCACTTGTAGGTTTACCGCAACAGTCTGTGGAGGAGGAAGAGTCTGAAATGGCAACTGGACCAAAGCTTCTGCAGCTGGAAGCTCCTCTTCTGACACCAAAGCATTCTGCACCAAAACCTGGCCCTGGGACAGAATTTCAGGCTGCACTTGTAAAGACTGCATAGACTGCAAGGGCAGTGGTGGAATCTGAGCTGGAGGAGATGTCGACATCTGTGGAGGACTTCCAATTGGGATTGGAGAGGACTGCAGGGTTGAATATTGCTGGTGTGATGGAGAGACAATTTGCTGGCCTGGGGATACCAAGGCAGACTGCTGAACTGGGCCAATGTGTACAACAGGGGAAGCTGGAAGTGGAAGATGAGATGGAAGATTCAACTGTGCTGTAGGTTGCACCTGATTAGTAGTGGACTGCTGCAAATTTGGCCCTGGCTGGAGAGCTGATGACACAAGAGGATGTGGCTGAATAAGTGCTTGTGGATGAATAATTATAGTAGGAGACTGACTTGGTGAATGAGGTGGTGGAGGAGATACCACTACAGACTGCTGTGCTGATTGTGACTGGTTAGGAGACACTGTTAAAGGAGGGGGATGACTCTGAATTGGTGAACAATGCTGTGGCTGGGCATTACTGGGAGCTGGAGGAAGGCCATGGTTCTGGAGTGGTATACAGTGCTGGGATGGGGGTGGGTCTTGAGTTGGATTCTGAAGTGTGATTGGCTGAATCTGCTGTTGCTGCTGTTGTAATATCAGCTGATGATGGGAAACTTTGGAAGGTGGTGAATGAAGAGGAATCTGCTGATGTTTTATTAGAGAATGAGGCTGAATTGGAGAATATGAAGCTGTGAGAGAAAAAAATGACAATTAGTATTGATTTCAAACATATAGAGATTTTTAAATAAATCTAAAGGAAAAAGTGTTCATATCAGGTCATAATCATCAGAATTCTATTACAAGTTTTCCAGACAAGAGTAATTTGAAAAAAAATTTTTTTTCTTTTTTTGAGACAGTCTTGCTCTTATTACCCAGGCTAGAGTGCTGTACTACGATCTCAACTCACTGCAACCTCCACCTCCCTGGTTCAAGTGATTCTCCTGTCTTTGCCTCTTGAGTAGGTGGGATTACAGGTGCCCCCTACCACACCTGGCTAATTTTTGTATTTTTAGTAGAGACGGGGTTCTATCATGTTGGCCAGGCTGGTCTTGAAACCTGACCTCAAATGATCCACCCAACTCAGCCTCCCAATGTGTTGTGATAACAGGCGTGAGCCACTGTGCTCAGCCTGAAAATTTAATGACAAACAGGTTTTCCTTGGAAAACTTTACAATTTCAAAAAATGCACTGAATTGTGGTAAGTTCTAAAAGAAAACTACCTAAAATTGAATAATCTGAATCTATATATGATTTATTCTTATATTTTATAGGTAATCTGAATATCTACATTAACTTTTAGCAAAGTTTATACACTTGAATTTCTTCTTTGTAGGAAAAGAATATCATCATAGGACAAGTATAACATATATAAAGATAATTTCAAAATCATAAGAATGGTATATTAAAATTCATTAAATAAAGATCTCATCCTTTCTAGTCCACATCTAAACATGTTTCCAACTAACAGTCAAGGTAATTACTTATAAAGCTTCCCAAATGAGTTTCCATTTTTGAGCTGAGATGAAAGGAACATCATTTGTCCCAGAAGAGAAAATGTTTTATATAATAATTTAATGTGATTAAGCAAAAGACGTGTGAATCATGTAGCATAGTTAAATAACCACCGTAACTAACAACTGAAATTTAGGGACCATTCTAAATCTAGAAAAACACTAGTTTTTCTTGCAAAGAATGAGACAATCAGAAGCCCATGCTACCGAAATAAGGGATTTTGTTAACCCTTTTCCCTCACCAAAAAAACCCTTCAACAATTGATGTGACAGTATCAGGTTTTCTCCACAAAGAAGCCACTCTCAACAGGAATAAGTATATGTAAGAAACAGCACAGTCAAGTGGTAGGAAGCTCCCCCATCATTACGCCTTTTCTGTAAACTGGTGGCACATGTTTATATAAAGGGAGATACTGGTGAAATTCTCCCTAAGAATGGAAACTGAGTTCACAAGAAGATGAACTGAAACAATCACTTATTGTTAATATCATGTAAAAATTACACACATTTAACACAGATTTAAAGACAGGGCAATTTTTTTTTCCCTAATCTTGGAATATTAGGAGAAAAGACTATATTATACCTTACATCTATTTTTTGTGTTCAGCCACAATTGTGACAATAATTTTATAAAAACTTCCAACAACTTTTTAAAAAAACATTTTTACATTTTATTATTTAAAATTTTTAGAATCCTTTAAAGAAACTAACCTCTGATTAACATCCAAACAAGAGGCATTTAGAAAGTTCAATAAATATCCACTAATTACTAAAAAAAGGATATCAAGTCAACAAAATAATTTTCATATAATACCTAGGCTAGTACTTCACACTAAGACTAAAAATTTTATGTCAGACCTTTAAAACTGTGTTGACAGAGACTCATGTTATAGAGTATTCACAAAGGGTGAATTAAGAAAATCTTGGATTTCTATAGAGTGCCCTTCAACCAAGGGGCTCAAAGGGCTTTCACAGGTCTCTCATTCATACTTACAAAATGTCTGTGGTATAGGTAGGTATTATTATCTCTCTTACAGATAATAGATTTTTTTGCAAGCATACTAGCAAAGGCCCACTTTAATTCAATTTTTTAAGTAAAGTTTTAATTTAAATTTACCATACTCTTAAAGTACCATGGATATTATATCTACTAGAATAGCAATTCTGGCTGGATGCAATGGCTCATGCCCGTAATCCCAGCACTTTGGGACGCTGAGGCAGGAGGATCACCTGAGGTCAGGAGTTCAAGATCAGCATGGCCAACATGGTGAAACCTCTTCTCTACTAAAAATACAAAAATTAGTCAGGCATGGTAACACACACCTGTAACACAGCTACTACTCAGGTATAACATATATAAAGATAACTTCAAAATCATAAGAATGCTATATTAAAATTCATATAGCACTTGAACTCAGGAGGTGGAGGTTGCAGTGAGCCGAGATCGCACCACTGCACTCCAGCCCAGGCTTAGGCATCAGAGCGAGACTCCCATCTCAAAAAAAATAAAAATAAAAAGAATAACAATTATTTCTGTGCTCTGGTAAGTAAACAAGTAAGCAATCTTTTTATATCCTAGAGCTGTGACAATTCAATAGATTAGCAATCTATCCTTTCATTTAAATTACATTTTTCTGTATCAGAAATCAAAGTGTGTTTATTTAATATTACTCCATAAGTCCAATTGATAAGCACATATATTATAATTATGAGGATATATGAAGCAGTAACTCTGTAAAAGAAAAGCCCTAGTGCTCTGGAAAAAAAGTCCTATCATGTTGGTTAATTTCTCTGATTTTAAAAAACATTTTCTTATTGTCACAGTGGCTTTATATTGAGAGAATTAATGGTTGACATCATCTCTCACACATATATAACTCTATTATTTACAATAACACATATTATTTCATTCAGTAACTACAACAACCCCATGAAGCTGACAGGGTACTATACCAATCCAACATACTACAGATGAAGAAACTCTGACAGGGTACCATGCCAATCCAACATATTACAGATGAAGGAACTCTGAGTAGTTAAGTGACTTGCCTGAAATCATCTGGCTATTAAGGACAGCGTTAGGTCTAAAAGAATCTATGATCCTAACTGAGTCCAGGGCCCTGTTATAGACTGAATGTTTGTGGGACAAAATTCATATGCTGAAGCTTTAATTCTCAATGTGTATTTGTAGATGGGAGGAAGTAATAAAGGTTAAATGAGGTCATAAGGGTGGTAGACATGACATGGTTTGTATCCTTGTAAGAAAAGACATCAGAGAGCTTCTGCTCCTTCCACCCTCCACACACTCAAATGAAGGGCCATGTGAGGACATCTGCAAGCCAGGAAGTGAGCCCTCACCAGAAGCTGAACACTGCTAGACCTTGATCTTGGGTTTTCCAGCCTCCAGGACTGTGAGAAAATGAATTTCTGCTCTTTAAGCCACAGTCTATAGTATTTTGTTACAGCAGCTGGAGCAGATTAATTAATACAGGACTTTCTCACTACACAATGAATTAATGTCTACAAAAAACAGTATATATTTTTTCCAATTAGACTAGTTTCACAGAAGTTCTAAAAACTGATTTAAAAACTTTAGCTCTAATACAGTCCATAATTATTTCCAGACACTTAAAGTTTGACCTTATTTTACATATTAAAAACAGAATTTACTAAGTAGCAAGTGGAAACTCCACCTTCAAAAAGAAATGATAAAGAAAACCAAGTTACTTTAGCACCCTAAAAATACACATAACAATAACCATGTCCATTATAATAATTATTAGACTACACTACATTCAAATAAAAGATTTTTTTTTACATTTAAAATGACCTGAAGGAGCATTTTTTAATTAAGGACAAATTATCAATTCAGAATCTCTCAAAATATCTTAGCTTCAGATTAACTTCTTACCAATAAAAGTAGAAAAACTAAGAAGGTGAAAAAATACAGCTGTAGCCTTAATAGAAGATACGAATGGCTTTGAATAACTTCAGTGTAAGGCTTAAGAAACTTTTAAGTAGTTTAGGATTTTCTCTGTGGTTTTGTTTCTAAACAACAAGAGTTTGAGTAATACATGTAAGATCTGAATTTGGAATTAATCTGACCTGAGACTCTGGTGGTTTTTGGCTTACTGGTTTCCTCCATACTTACATAAAATACTGATCATCAGAGGAAGGCAAACTATAAACACATTATCATACTATTAATGAAAGATGGAAGAGTAAGTTGCAATTCAGAACCAGGTACTGAGAATTAAGAGGGACTAAAAATCCCAAAGTAGGTCTCCTTGCTTGAACTAACCCTGAAAGAGTTCCAAGCTTTCTCTGAAAGTAACATTCTCTTCAGAAAGAAATTAACCTACCCTTCATTGTAATTTATAAAAACTGCAGTAATCACTAGAAATTGTCCCTGAACAGTCATTCTAAGCACTGTGGGTCACTGCTGCTCCATATTGACTGTCAAAACGGGCTGGATGCTGGCTTGAGGCTGACAATACTCTTGTATAGCAGTTTAAAAACCCAGCTTTTAAGCCATACAGAGGGCAGAGCCTGGCGCACAGCAGTTTAAAAAAAAAGAATTCACATGTAACTGTACTATGAATAGATTTATTAATTTATACATTATATCAAAGCCTACATTATATAAGATTCAGATTTAACAATTCTAAGCATAGTGATATCTAATCAGTACCAATAAGAAAGACTGCTATAATTCCTAAAATCCAAATGGGAAAAAAAGAACTATTAATCCAACAAATATGTACTGCCCACCTAATATAGGTAAGTACATATAAGGTACAACTTAGTGCTGTCAAGATAGAAGGATGTAAAGGTGAATCTAAAAAAGGATTAAAGAGTTAATCAATGTAAAGTACTAGCATAGTACCTCACACATACATAAATGCTCAATATTATTATCCTACCCTCAAGGAACGTACTATCTAGCAGAGAAGCTAAGATTTAGTATACAAATAACTATAAAAGAAAAAGAACCAGAAGGGACCATAAAATGCTATAAAATTTCAGAGTAAGGAGAAATTTCCAACTAGGGTAATCAAACAATTCCACAATTTTGAAATTCAGTGACATAGAGAATGCTGGCAGTATTAACACAGAAGAAACATGAAAAGTGAAAATAAGTTTAAGTGGAATATTTTACACTTACATCTAAGCATAAAAAAAAAAAAGACTCTGAAAAGTAAAGCAGCATTATAAAAGGACGGAAAAAGGATGCTTCCCTGATGAGGTTGCTGGAACAAAGAATGTTTGTTTGTTTGCTTGTTTTGAAACAGAGTCTTGCTCTGTTGCCCAGGCAGGAGTGCAGTGGTGTGATCTCGTCTCACTGCAATCTCCACCTCCTAGGTTCAAGCAATTCTGATACCTCAGCCTCCCAAGTAGCTGGGACTACAGGTGCACACCACCATATTCCACTAATTTTTGTATTTTTAGTAGAGACAGGGTTTCGCCACACTGGCCAGACTGGTCTCGAACTCCTGACCTCAAGCGATCCACCTGCCTTGGCTTCCCAAAGTGCTGGGATTACAGGCATGAGCCACTGCACCCGGTCAGATTTTTTTTTTTTTTAATGAAACCATTTATTATGTGTCTAGCCCAGTGCAACACACACACGCACGCGCGCGCGCGCACACACACACACACACACACACACACACACACACACAGAGGCTATAGTTATAGTGATTTAAAAAAACATGCAGATCCATTAAGAATAAGAGAGACCTAATTATAGCTGAGAAGCAGAGGAAAGGATCTAGCATGAGAAGATAAAAGATGTTGTAACAATTATGTACTAAAGAAGGTCAGGAGAGGTATTAAAAAAATGGTGGGATCAACAACAGGGGCAAATGGTGCTGAGTTTAAGAATACACGTAATTCTTTATCTATTAAAATTAAAGAAAGTTTAATTCTGAGAAATTTTGAGATGAACAGAAGAGACAGCAAGCTCACTCTGGATGGTCCCAACATTTTCAGTACAAAATGAGGCAAGATTATCTAGTTAAAGTAAAGGCAACACAGGTAGAATTCAAAGCTTAAGGGGAATGACAATGACTCAGTTGACTGCCTGAGATGATCCTGTCAGAGATGAAGCCAAAGACAGAAAAAGGCAACAACATAAGGAAAGTAATTACGCATAATCCTATGCTTCAAAGTGACAAATTTCTCCCATGATGACAACTTTAAACAAAATAGTATACTGTTTTTTTTTTAAAGCTTTAAAAATTATCCCACCAAAGTGTATTAAATAAACTACAGGCAAATCTTTCTTTAAAGCTAAAAGGTTTTATCAACATAAGGAGAGACCAGCACTTAAAGATGTTAATCAAATGTCATTTAATTTAAAAAACCTATTACATTGCTACAATTTATTTTAGTTCTTGGGCTTTTTTGTCTCTTTTCAAGCTACATATTAAGATTATTTAATTTATAAAATCCACATTTTAAAATGTTTTAAAGGATGTTCAGGTCATGAACATCCTTCGTTTTTGCTCTAAGAAAATGAATAATACAACTATTTTGAACAAAAGTTTTATCCTACCTGGTGCTATTAACTGATGAATACTTGATGTCCGGGTGACAGCTGTGCTTCGTGATTCCAGACTTGGGCTTTCTCCTTTCTTATTACTTTCTGGAGAAGGATCTCGTTGGCTGATTTTAGAACTGGTCACTGTTGTTTTGTTATGACAAATTGTCAATGACTGAGTTTGACTAGTGCTTTTTGGTGGACCATTCTGTGAGCTAGATAATACACCCAACTTCTGGCTGCGTAATGTTAAATTCTGAACCTACGAACCACATAACAGAAAATTAGGATGAAAACAGATGGTTTTAATTGATGTGGTAATCATTACCATTGTGACAATACTGACAACACATTTATATTATGCTTTTCATACATAAAGCTCCAAGCACTTGAAAGAACTGATTAATCCTTAAGGAGAGTTATTCTTTTAAGTAATCACATCTTAAATATTAAGTGGCAATTTTTAAAATATATTAAGAGGAAGAGGGGAGGAAGGGGGAAAAAAGAAAGGGAGGAAGAAGGGGAAAAAAAGAAAGGAAGGAAGAAAGGGGGAGGGGAGGGGAAGGAGACGGGAGAGAAGGATCATAAAAAATTAAACAAAAACTATATATATATATATATATATAAGCAGTGTGTGTATTATATATGCATGAACTATGAATATGAGGAAATTACTCTGCAACATAACTGCATTAAAAGTTACCAGTTCTAGCTATAGAGATTATAAGGGGACATTAACCTTGTAAGAAATTAATTCATCAAATCATCTGCCACATTGTGAAAATTACGAAAAGCATTTTCAAAAGAACTATTTTAATTTAGTAAAATTTTGGTGTTGCTGTTGTTATTGAACATTCACTGTCTTTGAAAACTGCATCTCATGAACTGTAAAGAGGGTGCATGACCCTGAAACGGCTTTCTGTGGTGGTTCATGCTACACTCAGGGCTATTTGAAACGTACTGCCAGTCTAGACGGTGGCAAGGATTATCCCAATTACTCTCACCTGACATTTATAACATTTCCAAACAGCAAGACACAAGACAGAAAATGCTTCTCCCAAAGTTGCTGAACTTTTTGCCTATCTAGAATGAATGTACCAAATACATGTAGGCTACCACTGGCCCTGGGAGAGAATCTGAAATAAAAGAGATTCCAGAATGACAAAGCAAATGATATAGTGCTGCTTTATAAAATGTTCTTCAGTTTCATGTGTTCTGTCTCTACAAGTACATCATTAAAAGATGCTCAAAAAGCTATACTTTCTCCCAGCACTTTGGGAGACCAAGGCAGGCAGATCACCTGAGGTCAAAAGTGTGAGACCAACCTAACCAACATGGTAAAACCTCGTCTCTACTGAAAATACAAAAACTAGCCAGCCATGGTGGCCTGTGCCTGTAGTTCCAGCTACTCGGAAGGCTGAGGCAGGAGAATCACTTGAATCTAGGAGGCAGAGGTTGCAGTGAGCCGAGATCACGCCACTGCACTCCAGCCTGAGAAACAGAACGAGAGTCTGTCTCCAAAAAAAAAGCTATACTTTCTCAGTAATTCCACACCTGTACTTCCAGCATTTTGGGAGGCCAAGGTGGGTGGACCACTTCAGGCCAGGAGTTTGAGACCAGCCTTGCCAACATGGTGAACCCATCTCTACTAAAAATATACAAATTAGCCAGGCATGGTGGCGCATGCCTGTAATTCCTCGGCAGGCCGAGGCACAAACTGCTTGGGCCTGGGAGGTGGAGGTTGCAATGAGTTGAGATATTGCGCCATTGCCCCCCGCAACCTGGGCAACAGAGTGAGACTCTGTCTCAAAAAAAACAAACAAAAAAACGCTATACTTCAGGCCAAAGTTTTCATCAGTTCTATTCGAAGCTACTCAAAGAATTTTCTAAGTAAAATCTTATGGAGTATCTTCTCTGATTTTTCTCAAATATTTCATACCAATGTAAACATAAATGGACTAATAACTGGTATATTATTAAAGTTTAATACAAAAACAAAATATGTCGGCGGGGCACAGTGGCTCACACCTGTAATCCCAGCACTTTGGGAGGCCAAGGCAGGTGGATCACAAGGTCAGGAATTCAAAACCAGTCTGGCCAATATGGTGAAACCCCGTCTCTACTAAAAAGACAAAAATTAGCCAGGTGTGGTGGCAGGTGCCTATAGTCCCTGCTACTCGGGAGGCTGAAACAGGAGAATCGCTTGAACCTGGATGGTGGAGGTTGCAGTGAGCCAAGATTGTACCAATGCACTCCAGCCTGGGAAACAGAGTGAGACTCCATCTCAAAAAAAAACAAAAAACAAAAAAACAAAAAAAAACACAACTAAAATCCAGATTTCTCAGACTTCCACTCAAAGCCCTCCACAACCTAGGCCAAAACCACTTCAAGCCCCCAGTTGCTATTCCTCCAGCCCACAGTTCTTGTATTCCAGCCAAACTGTTCTGCTCGTTATTCTCCAAATATACCTTCCACTACCTTCAGTGGAACTGAAGCTCTTATTCAAGCACCTCTTGCCTAAATGTCATCTTTTCTCAAAGCTCTCTTTTGAAGCCCAACCCATTCTTCAAAGCCCAGTAAAATCCCACTTGCTCTACCCTAAGAAACATTCCCAAAATCCCTGGTTAGAAAAGAGTTTCTTCCTCTCTTCTAGAACAACTTTCCCATAGAATTTGGGTTATACTGGCCTATAGCATTGACAAATATCTAACTTGTTTGACAATTATTAAAGGTATGTGTATCTGTGAAATACTGAGACTCGCTAGTAGACTCTCACCTCAACATTCAATTTTATACTCCCTGCAGTTCAGTGCTGCAGGTTTAATAGAAACTTCACAAGTCTGAGGTATTCTCCTGTATCTCATTTTGAAATATATATTACATGGCTAATTTTTTGGTAAGCACTTAGTTCTCTTCATGGTGTTCTTAGGCTAACATTAAAATCTGTTCGTGTTTACCAAAAACATCTCAACAAGTATCTAGTGGAGGCACATTAAACTCTTCCAGGAAGCGAAAGACAAAATTTAACATTTGCCACAGATGACATATGAAGCAGGCTGCATAGTAACGATAACCAAAGAGTGAGTAATAATCTGAAAAACTTGAAAGCATTCCTTCAAATGAGAAGTATATTCACAGTAAATGAGGATTTGACACAATGAACCCTAAAACCTACAGCATATTCATTTCTATACAATAATATACTTTTTGTTTTTAATTTTCCTTATGTTTTCTGGAATTCTGAAAGAAAATGTGTATATACTTACACTATATTGTATATATATGTTATTTATGTGAACATATAAATTTTAGAATATGGCTATATCTATGATCATTTTGACTTAAATGTTGACATGGTTTAAATAAATTCCAAACATGAAAGCTACACTGCCAAAGTAGATTACAAAGTCAATGCAGCTGTTAGTGGAAAGATCACATATACAGATTTCCTTGACAAAGCTTCCCTTTTGAAAGAAAATCCATCCTTCCTAAAATGAAGACTATTAGGGCACTCTGATGTCCCACATTCATTTCATTCGAACCTTTCCTTTGATCAAATTATGAAAACTTTCTGACTTTTGAAAAAGTCTACATTTCGCATGAGTTATTTTTGCTAATTTTGCATCTTATATTGTTATAGAGGGCTTCCCTGCCAAAATATTCTCACATCAATTATTTAACTGGAATCTAACAAATACTATGGCAATTATCATAGTAGAGCTGGCAGTAGAGCTGGGTTTCTAACTTTTAAATCCAAAGGGTTGTTTTTTCCCTCAATTCTAAGAGTAATTCCCCAGTAGGCCATCTGGAAAATACTCTTAGAATTGAGGAAAAAACAATCCTTTGGATTTACTGAGTCAGATTCCTTTTTTTTTTTTTTTAAAGACAGTCTCACTCAGTCTGGAGTGCAGTGGTGTGATCTCAGCTCACTGCAACCTCCACCTCCCAGGTTCAAGCAAGTCTCCCACCTCAGCCGCCTGAATAGCTGGGACTACAGGCGTATGCCACCATATCTGGCTAACTTTTGTATTTTTAGTAGAGTTGGCCAGGTTCATCTGGAACTTCTGATCTCAAGTGATCCAGCCGCCTCAGCCTCTTAAAAGTGCTGGGATTACAGGCATCAGCCACTGCGCCAGCCTCTGGGTCAGATTTCTTACTCATCTTTTTTTCTTGAGACAGGCTTGTTCTGTCGCCCAGGCTGGAGTGCAGTGGTGTGATCTCGGCTAACTGCAACCTGTGCCTCCTGGATTGAAGCGATTCTCCTGTCTCAGCCTTCTGAGTTAGCTATGCTGCTTACAGATTCCCACCATTACACCCAGCTAATTTTTGTATTTTTAGTAGAGGTGAAGTTTCACCATGTTAGCCAGGCTAGTCTCAAACTCCTAACCTCAAGTGATACACCTACCTTGGCCTCCCAAAGTGCTGGGATTTACAGGCGTGAGCCACCACGCCTGGTTCATCTCTTAACACACTCTTTGCCCTATAACATCTTCCAAAAATCTTTTTTGTGTAGGTGTGCATGGTGGGGAGAAGGGATTGAGCATTTAACATGGTAAATAAAAGTGATATATTCCAAATTTCTCATTGTTTACAATATGCTATAAAAATATTCAATACTGGCCGGGCGTGGTGGCTCAAGCCTGTAATCCCAGCACTGTGGGAGGCCGAGGCGGGTGGATCACGAGGTCAAAGGTCGAGACCATCCTGGTCAGCATGGTGAAACCCCGTCTCTACTAAAAATACAAAAATTAGCTGGGCATGGTGGCGCACGCCTGTAATCCCAGCTACTCGGGAGGCTGGGGCAGAATTGCCTGAACCCGGGAGGTGGAGGTTGCGGTGAGTCGAGATCGCGCCATTGCACTCCAGCCTGGGTAACAAGAGCGAAACTCCGTCTCAAAAAAAAAAAAAATTTAATACTAAGGAAAAATTATTGACTTTTATAGCTTAAAGAGTATTAAAATACAACTTCAGATTTGGTATTTCACAATTACAAATAATTTTTTAACTGTAAATATGATTTTAAAACTCGACAAAGTTAAGCAGACATTTTAAAAAACTAACCTAACAGTCTTGAACTTGAGGAAAGTTATCACTAGAACGTATAAGTAGGAGCAGCACATACCACTGCCAGCCTCACTCACTGCCATTTCAAAAGCACAGAGAGGAAAAACAACATCCACAAAGAAATTCCTAAAGGTCAAACCATTCCTGTAGCCCCTCAAAAGTCTATCCCTGAATTAAATCAGATCATCACAGAGGCTGATACCTAAAACACATCAATCTGGACCCCGAAGACCACTTTTATAAATTATTTTGACTCCACTCACATTAAAGATACCCTTATAAGATGAAGTAAGATGTCTTCCTCATCAGTACCGGCAAGTACTCTCAGAACATGTTTGAATCAACTGCAACCTAAGCAGGTGGGTTTGTTAATTTTACCTTGGAAACTATAAATTCTTTTTATTTATTTATTTTTTTTGAGACAGGGTCTCACTTTGTCACCCAGGCTGGAATGCAACAGCTCGATCTTGGCTCACTGCAGCCTCAACCTTCTGGGATCAAGTGATCCTCCCACCTCAGCCCCCCAAGGAGGTGGGACTACAGGCCCACACCACCACGTCCTACAAATTTTTGTATTTTTTTGTAGAGACAGGGTTTTGCCATGTTGACAGGCTGGTCTTGAACTCCTGTGCTCAAGCAATCCGCGAGCCTCTGCCTCCCAAAGAGCTAAGATTACAGGTATAAGCCACTTTGCCTGGCCTATAAATTCTTTAAGTGGTTGCTTTTCTCCCTTCATTATTAGTTACCTGAAAGCTAAGAACCAACTTTGTGACTCATTTTCAGACAATGCATAACAAAAATAGTAATTAGTAGCCTGTGATATCTTACTTGTGGCAGGCACTATATTAAGTACTTTATTGTTTCACTTACTCCTTATAACAACTCTGAGCCCCAATTATCAGCTCCGACAGTAGAGATGAGTTGTTTTAAATAAATGAAACAATTCAGTAAATGAAACATTTAGTAAATGCTATCAGATTTAATCCTGGCAGAAACCTTATAAAATATTAGATTATAAATGTTATTTTATTTTACATAATTGACACTGAGGTGAAGAGGTTAAGGACTTAAAGGTAGAGCAAGTATTTGAACCCAGAGATTCTGGCTCCAAAGTCCGTATTATAAACACTATGCTATACTACTATGAACTTGGCCAAAATCAATCTGCTGGCAAATAATGTTGCTAAAGTCAGAATTTGAATCCAAGTCTTCCTATCTCCAACTTTTGCAAAAAACAAAACTACTTACTGAGTGCCTGTAATGTCTTACACACTAAAGATACCTATTACTTATCCTTTTACCCTACAAATATGAGTAAATACTAGAGTTGTTTGGCAACTTGTCCACATCATACAATAAATGACTGAAGTAGGAGCTTAACTTAAGGCCACACAAAACTTCACACAGGTAAGCTGAGCAGCAACTTCACTCCTAGCTCCATTCTTGGAAATAGTTTCATTTGTGTCTTTTTTCTTCCATGCTTCCAACTTATGTTTTATTCCATGCATCTTATAAATGAATTAAAATCTTAGTTGGAACAATGTCAAATATAAATGAAAAAATAAAATTTAAAATGTTGGAAGTTGATGATGGTCTAGTTCTATTAGGAGAAAACCTCCGAATAATTGTTTCATAAAACCAAAACAAAAGAAAAGGAGATCATTATTTCAGGCTGGCACAGTGGCTCACGCCTGTAATCCCAAAGTTTGGGAGGCCTAAATAGGCAGATCACTTGAGCTCAGGAGTTCAGGACCAGCCTGGGCAACATGGCAAAACCTTGACTCTACAAAAAAATACAAACATTAGCCAGGCGTGGTGGCACATACCTGTAATCCCAGCTACTCAGGAGGCTGAGGTGGGAGGATGGCTTGAGCCCAGGAAGGTCAAGGCTGCAATGAACCATGATTGAGCCACTGTACTCCAGCCTGGGTGACACAGTGAGACCCCATCTCAAAAATTTAATTAATTAATTACTTAAGATTAATTGATTTAAAAAGAAGACAATTAGTTCAACAAATTCATTCCACAGAGACATAAAAATTTAGAGCTAAAAAATCTTAAAGTTAACAAAGATAAAGTTCTTATTTTGTAAACACAGGGGAAAATAAAGTCCAATAAAGTTAAGAAACTGAAGAATGGGCCAAGCATGGTGGCTCATGCCTGTAATCCCAGCACTTTGGGAGCCCAAGGCGGGTTGATTGCCTGAGGTCAGGAGTTCGAGATCAGCCTGACCAATATGGTAAAACCCTATCTCTACTAAAAATACAAAAATTAGAGGGGCATGGTGGCATGTGCCTGTAGTCCCAGCTACTCGGGAGGCTGAGGTAAACTGCTTGAATCCAGGAGGCGAAGGTTGCAGTGAGCCGAGATCACACCATTGCACTCCAGCCTGGGCAACAGAGCGACACTCCGTCTCAAAAAAAAAAAAAAAAGAAAGAAAGAAAAAGAAACTATGGAAAATCACAGGGCAAGTTAGGAGAAATCTGAATGTAAATGACCATCATCTTTATAAATTAATACATGAAAATTAGCCTTCAGTTGTAAATGAAATAATATATATTATATCAAAAATACCAAAGAAATTATCATTTTTTTACCAGAAGACGGAGAACTATATTAAATATAAGAGGCCAAAGGTGACCCTAAAATATCCATCTCTGCCATATGCAGTCTAAAATATTGTGCAGAACACCAAAATATAGCAATATCATGCAAAGTAACATTCTAACTCAATTGTTTTCATTTAAAATGTACTCACTCTAATCCATTCTTGTCAAATTTATTTAGGTGTAACTTACGTACAACAAATAACATTACAATGAGTTTTGACATATGTATACACCATATAATCACTACCCCAAGATACAGAACATCACCTTAACCATGTCAGTTCACTCATGCCCCTTCCCAATCAATCTCCGCCTACCTTCTACCCCAGATACCACTAATCCGGTTTTTTCCACTATAGCTTTGCCTGTTCTAGGATTTCATATAATGGAATCATAGAGTATGTATTCCTTATACCAAGGTTCTTTTGCTAAACATCATCTTTTTGAGATTCTTCAGTAGTTCATTCTTTTATTTCTGAGCAGTATTCCACCATAAGAATATATTAAAATTGGGGTGTGTGGGGAAAAAATAAAAAAATAATAATATATCAAAATTTGTTTATCTACTCAGCAGTTAAAGGACATTTGGTTGTTTTCAGTTTGGGGTTATTCTGAGTACTGCTGCTATAAACATTTGTTAACATATCTATATGAATGTTTTCACATCTCTCAGGGTAAACTTAAGGAGAACTGCTGAGTCACATGTTATGTGTATGTTTCCACTCTATAAGGAACTGCCAAACTGTTTTCCAAAGTGTGGTTTTACCATTTTACATTCTCACCAGCAATGTATGAGAGTCTGGATGCTCCACATTCTCACCTATAGATAGTATTAGCAGTCTTCTTCATTTCAGCCATTCTAGTGAATGTATGGTGATACCGTCGTTTTGATTTGCATTTCTGTAATGATTAATCTCACTGTGTCACCCACACTGGAATGCAGTAGCACTATCATAGTTCATTGCAGCCTCAATTTCCCAGGCTCAACCAATCCTCCTACCTCAGCCTCCTGAAAAGCTAGAATTATAGCCACACAGCACCACGCCCAGCTAATTTTTTTTATTTTTAGTCAAGACCAGGTCTTGCTATTTTTCCCAGGCTGGTCTTTAATGCCTAAGCTCAAGCAATCCTCCTGCCTGGGCCTCCAAAATGTGCTAGGATTACAGGCATAAGCCACTGCACTTGACCAATTTTTAAAATTTTAAATTTGTCTAATTTATTTTCAAACTTAAAATCCATCTTGACTTAGTTATTACATAAGGAACACTGTAAGCAAAATAATATATCTCACATGATGAGAAATAAATCTGCTTTATGAAGAGAAAATCATTAACAAAAACTCTCATTAACCTTGACTAACCAATGTCAAATAACCTAAATATCTGTGCTTAATGGTATACAATTCTACAGAACAAAAAACATTTTCTTGAAGTTCTCATTGTATTTTATTAAGTTTCAATCTAAAATGCATGACAAGGAGCACCGAAACCATCAGTAGTAACTTAAACACAGATGCAAGGCTTATCTTTAACCTGAAGATGCAGATCTCAAATAACACATTATGAAGCTAGACAAGCTCACCTGAGTAGCTGCAGACTGACAGGAAGATGACGATGACGACGAGACAACAGGAATGTCAGACTGTACAGCAGCCACAGTGGTAGCAGGTGTGAAAATCAGCTGTACAGACAGAAAACCAAAAAAATACCCTAAGACAAAAGAACATGTCCCACACACAATGTGCAGCAGGCAAAGGAGACTGAAATTTGTGACAGAAAGACAATGCAGTTTAGGATTATCTCCTCAGCAAAAGGTTTTACAGGACAAAAAGAAATTTCTAATAATAGAGAAATAAAAAAAAAATCATAAACATTTTTAAAACAGCTCATGACTCTGATGAGTGCAAAAAAAAAAAAGCAGTACTCAAAAAAGAAAATGTATTTTCGTGATATGAAATTCTGAGTCCAAATTGTATCTCAAATAAGCTATTATACTTAAATTTTTCCTAGCTCAAAACTACTGCGGCGGGATTCCTAAAATGGAAAGTTAAAGTAAACAACAACAGTGACTATTCTGGGACACAAATTAAATTTCAGTGAGAAACAAAAAGAAACACCAAAAAAGTCTTTTCAGTCCTCTTTATCATAAGGATAACTATGCCACATGCTTACAACACTCCAATATTTCACCCAGCTACAAAGGATCTATAGGACAAATCCAGGTTGCTCTTTCATTTTAAAACTATTTGTAAAGAAGTATTCATTCTATGGCTGGGCGTGGTGGCTTACACCTGTAATCCCAGCACTTTTAAAGGCCCAGGCAGGTGGATCACTTGAGGTCAGGAGTTCAAGATCAGCCTGGCCAACACGGTGAAACCCCATCTCTACTACAAATACAAAAATTAGGTGGGCATGGTGGCTCATGACTGTAATCCCAGCTACTTGAGAGGCTGAGGGAGGAGAATCGCTTGAACCCGTGAGGTGGAGGCTGCAGTGAGCTGAGATCACGCCACTGAACTCTAGCCTGGGCGACAAAAGCGAGACACTACCTTATTTAAAAAAAAAAAAAAAAAAAAAAAAAATTCATTCTAAAAGTAAATGCCACAGATGTCAAAATTAAACAAAAGAGCCTGCAAAAAAAGCTTCACATCAAAAAACAAAAAGACATATTTAACTTTTTTACTCATCACTTTCCTTTTTTTTTTTTTTTTTTTTTTTTTTTTGTGAGACAGTCTCACTCTGTCACCCAGGCTGGAGTGCAGTGGTGTGATCTTGGCTCTCACTGCAACCTCTGCCTCCCAGGTTCAAGTGATTCCCCTGCCTCAGCTTCCTGAGTAGTTGGGATTACAGGCATGCACCACAACGTCCAGCCAATTTTTGTATTATTAGTAGAGACAGGGTTTCATCATGCTGGCCAGGCTGGTTTCAAATTCCTGACCTCAAGTGATCTGCCCGCCTCAGCCTCCCAAAGTGCTGGGATTACAGGCATGAGCCACCATGCCCCGCTCAATTTTTTTCAATACCGAAATAAATGCCATTAATTTCTAAGGCAATACAATCCACTCAGAGATTATCTAATTCAATTTAGTGAATTTGACAGTAGTTTCAAAGAATGTGTAAACACTTTATTTCAAAATTGTATCAAGGGTTATTCAGTTCCTCTTGCTATCTAAGTTAAAATCTTCAATCAAACGAAGATTAAAAAAAAATTAGAAAAATAAAAGTCCAATTAAGTGACCTTTTAAACTTCAGTTCTTCAGTACACTAAATTTAAGTAAATTAAACCACAAAGTACAATGAGCTTTCCATATCTGTGGGTTTGTTCAAGCAACTGCAGACAGAAAAAATATTCATTAAAAAAAAAAAGGATAACTGTATCTGTACTGAACATGTACAAATTTTTCTCTTGTCATTATTCCCTAAACAATATAGTATAACAACTATTTAAATGATGTTTATATTATATTATTATACATAGAGATGATTTAAAGTATATGAGAGGATATGCATAGGTTCAATGCAAATACTATGCCTTGAGCATCCCATCCTCAGATTTGGGTATTCTAGGGGACAGAGAGGGTGAGCCTTACAACAATCTACCACAGACACCAAGGGACAACTGGTATAACTTTCCTGAAAAGATAATTTCCAGTAACAATACCCTGAAAGGACTAAATCTAAAAAGAAGATATTCCATTTACTGTGACCTGTATGAAACTGCTAATTTTAGAGTTCAAAAGTGGTCAAACAGCAACCATTTCAAATGGTTCAACCTAATTTTAAAGCATAAATGATTGGAAACTTTCTTTGCAATTTTAGATAGAAAACTGAAGATGTAGATATATAATCAGCCTACTGGACAAAAAAGAATATAAATACGTATTAGGTACAATGCTTTTGTCTAGCTTCTTGTAAAGACAACAAATAAAATACATGTCAACCAATTTCTATATTCCTTAAAGAAGCTTAACAATCAAATTAGGAAATCAGTAAATACTCAAATACAGAATAACCAAATTACCATTACTATATTCATAAAAGATCAAAATGAACAGAAGAACATAAATAATCTTGCAGAATTTGAGACAGAAATAACCAAAGCTAAGAATCATCTGGGAAACTATCAGGAACTCCAATATAGACTTCAGAAAATCCCAGGACACAAATTCTAACGTGTTTTAACAACCAAGTTTTTTAACATTTCTATTTCACCAAATCTAAGTTGTGAAAAATAGATAATGATTTTATGAACCACTGTAAGTACCAAGTTGCCGTTAGTTATAAAATGCATCCCAATTTCAGAGATGTTAAAATATGGAAAAAAAAAAAAAAAAAAAAAGTTTGTTTTCGATTAAAAAATAATCACTCTCGATATTGACTCTATTAGCTTCCCAATGTTGATAATTACTATTTGATACCAAAAGACCTATTAATTAAATGTAGAATCTTTCATGACATAAATGTACAAGAGCTGAAGGCGCACCCACATGCACACACACAATTAAACATTTCTTAAATATTAAAAATACCTCTTATTGTATCAAATCAAGAAACATTTTGATCTCTCAAGTCCTTAAACACTGAAAAAATTTGGTAGCTCATATCTTACCATTTGAGCTCGGAGATACATTTGAGCTTGGCTTGCCGTTAGGGTAGGGGAAGTACTCCCTAGTAACATAGTCTGTTGGGTAATACTGCCGCTGGTAGAACTGGAAGCCTGGGAACGGCTTATTAACTGTGCAGGTGTAGGAGAAGTGGAGAGGTTGATCTAAGGAAGAAAACATATTAGGTCATAGGCTTCCATTTCTTGTTTCCATGTTACTGAATTTCACACTGAGCTGCAGTTAGGTAGTCAATGGTATAAACTGTGGCTAAGGAAACCAAAGGAGAAGCCTTTATTTTTGACAGACCCCGTCATTTCTTTGCGCAATTGTTTGCATATATGTATATGGATTGGTTAGTAATCAGGACAATTTTTAAGAACAGCTACAATGTGTTTCAATAAGATTTCTAGTATCTTAAAATATCATTTCCACTACTTCCTAAAAATTAAGGCCAGTGCTCACTTCGGCAGCACATACACTAAAACTGAAACAATACAGAGAAAATTAGCATGGCTCCTGCGCAAAAATAACACGCAAATTCATGGAGAGTTCCATTAGTTTTAATAGAGGATTCTGTATGTTCTCAACAGTAAGAAATGATCGATGTTTGAGGTGATGGATATGCCAGTTACCCTGATTTGATCTATACATGGTATACATGTATTCAAATATCACCCTGTATCCCATAAATATGTATAGTTATGTGTCAATTAAAAATAAAAAATTTAGAGCTAATGCTTCATTTTACTATCCCACATAGCTTAAAACATCCTAATCAACATTGTCACATTCTGAGGAGTTCGTGAACAAAAATTAAAACATAGATAATTCATTCACAAATATAAAAACATACATGTAACACATAACTAGTGTAAAGTTGTAACTCAAAAACTCTCAAGCAAAAGAAAATACAATTCCTACTTCTCAAACACATAGCAAAAATCCTGAATATTGACTACAAAATTAAACGATACCAATTCTAAATCTTCTGGGTAATAAAAAATAAAAAGAAAAAAATAAATAAATTATAAACACTAAAGTTTAAAACTTCTGTTAAAGAATGAACTAGTGCATTGTTAACTTCTAGAAGGCCAGGCGTGGTGGCTCATGCCTGTAATCCCAGCACTTTGGGAGGCTGAGGCGTGCGGATCATCTGAGGTTGGCGGTTTGAGACCAGCCTGACCAACATGGAGAAACCTTGTCTCTACTAAAAAAAAAAAAAAGTAAGTGATAATTGGTTGTATCTAAAAAGAGATACTGGGGTGAGGTAGCTAGGGGAATAGGGAAAACAAAAAGCATACTCTTTTTTTAAATCTTTTTAATTTCAGACAACATGCATATATTACCCATTTTTAAAATAAATAATATTTTTGGCTGGGCATGGTGGCTTATGCCTGTAATCCCAGTACTTTGGGAGGCTGAGGAGGACAGATCATGAGGTCAGGAGTTTGAGACTAGCCTGACCAACATGGTGAAACCCTGTCTCTACTAAAAATACAAAAATTAGCCAAGCATGGTGGCACGTGTCTGTAATCCCAGCTACTCAGGAGGCTGAGACAAGAGAATCACTTGAACCTGGGGAGCAGAGATTGCAAGGAGCCGAGATTACGCCACTGCACTCCAGCCTAGGCGACAGAGTGACACTCCATCTCAAAAAAAAAAGAAAAAAAAAAAAAAAATATATATATATATATATATTGGATATATGTATACAACTTCAAATCATTTTTGTGGAACAAGGTGGAGAATAAAATTAATAAATATTTTATTAGAAAAAATGCTTTACTGGACTTCTGAACGAGGCAACAAGACAGACTGGATTAATACATCCATTTGACCAAACAGTATCACTGAAATACTAGATCAATATGAAAAATTAGAATACACAGCTGAGACCGGGTGCGGTGGCTCAAGCCTGTAATCCCAGCACTTTGGGAGGCCGAGGCGGGTGGATCACGAGGTCAAGAGATCGAGACCATCCTGGTCAACATGGTGAAACCCCGTCTCCACTAAAAATACAAAAAATTAGCTGGGCATGGTGGAGCGTGCCTGTAGTCCCAGCTACTCAGGAGGCTGAGGCAGGAGAATTGCCTGAACCAGGAGGCGGAGGTTGCGGTGAGCCGAGATCGCGCCATTGCACTCCAGCCTGGGTAACATGAGTGAAACTTCGTCTCAAAAAAAAAAAAAAAAATACACAGCTGAACTCCAAAGGGGAGAGAAAAGCAGGGAGAGGGAAATTCCTGGTGCAAAAAAGGAAGAAACTCAAAGCCAGAGATGTCATCTTAGCTGACACCAAGGCAGTCTATAAGGGTATATGGGGCCTATAGACCCAGAAGATCCACCTTTGTGCTTATTTCAAGGGAGGGCTACAAGTGAAATCCCTATTTTGAGCCAAAATCCTGAAAAGAGCTCCCCAATATGTAAAAAGGGAGCTGGAAAAGCTACACCCATACATTCTGAGAAACAGCAAAGCAGTCTGCATCTGCTCTGCTCCTAGTGGAGGCAGGGAAGGAGGCACCTATGAGAGAAAACCCCAGGCTTGCACCAGATAGGGGTATAGAATCCAAATCCATACTCCCTGTATGGTTCCATAAGCCACCCAAAACATTAACATTTGAACAAACCCAAGACACTTGTTAAACTGAATGGTGACTGGAGAAAGCTGAGTGAAGTCAATATAGGAGGACCTCTCTGTATTATTTTTGCAACTTCCTATGAGTCTATAATTATTTAAAAATTAAAAAGTTAAACTGCAGAGTAGGCACATGAGAGCTGGTTATCTAATTCTCTAAATTGATATATGTTTTTAATTTTAATATTTATTTTTTCTTTTCCTTTTTTTTTTTGAGTCGGAGTTTCGCTCTTGTTGCCCAGGCTGGAGTGCAACCTCAGCCTCCCGGGTTCAAGCAATTCTCCTGCCTCAGCCTCCTGAGTGGCTGGGATTACAGGCATGCGCCACCACACCAGGCTAATTTTGTATTTTTAGTAGAGAAGGGATTTCTCCATGTTGATCAGGCTGGTCTCAAACTCCTGACCTCAGGTGATCCGCCCACCTCAGCCTCCCAAAGTACTAGGATTACAGGCGTGAGCCACTGCGCCCAGTCTTAATATATTTAAAGGTATAATTCAATGCATAAATACAATATAATATAGAATTACTGTAATTTGGGTCCTACTCCTAACACACTACTGAAACTGCCTTAACAATAGTCACCAACATCTAACTGACAAACTCAGAGGATTATTTTCAGACCATTCCCTCTTGAGTCTTTTTTACCAATGCTTCTTTCAGACCCACTTCCAAAGTGTTCATGCTCTGTCCTTAACACTTTTCTTCTTCTTTTTTCTTTTGTGAGACAGGGTCTCCCTTTGTCACCCAGGCTGGAGTGCAGTGGAGTAATTATGGCTCACTGAAGCCCCAACTTCCTGGACTCAGATGATCCGCCCACCTCAGCCTCCTGAGTAGCTGGGACTATAGGCATGCATCACCATACCCAGTTAATCTTTGTATTTTTTGCAGAGACAGGGTTTCATCATGTTGCCCAAGCTTGTCTCAAACTCCTGGGCTCAAGTGATACCACCTCAACCTCCCAAAGTGCTGGAATGAACAGTGTGAGCCACCACACCAAGCCATAGTTTTCTTCTTGAATTCCTAGATTATCCTATCTTATTCCACAGTTTCACACAATTCAATCCTGATGACTCTCAATACTTTTTTTTTTTTTTGAGTCGGAGTTTCGCTCTTGTTACCCAGGCTGGAGTGCAATGGTGCGATCTCGGCTCACCGCAACCTCCGCCTCCTGGGTTCAGGCAATTCTCCTGCCTCAGCCTCCTGAGTAGCTGGGATTACAGGCACGCGCCACCATGCCCAGCTAATTTTTTGTAGTTTTAGTAGAGACAGGGTTTCACCGTGTTGACCAGGATGGTCTCGATCTCTTGACCTTGTGATCCACCAGCCTCGGCCTCCCAAAGTGCTGGGATTACAGGCGTGAGCCACCGCGCCCGGCTCAATTCTTAACTGTAAACCCTTTTTTGAAGTTCTAGATCCAAATGCCTACAGCATACATCTTTCTGGATATCTTTCACCAGCTCAAACTCAGCAAGTTCAAACGGCAAACTAATTATTCCTTTTAAAACAACTTCTCCTCAAATGGCACTCGAATTTTCTAAAATTCTTCAAGACATATTATCTGGAAGTCAACCTGATGCTTTCCTCTCCTTTACCACGCACACAAAATCAGTCATGTGTTTTGTTTCTAATTCATCTTTTTGTCTCCTAATTTCCATTTTGATTTTTCGTCACTTAGTTTGAGACTTTGGGCCCGTGTCATTTCCATCTTGATTACTTTAACATCTGCAAACTGATACCTCTTACTAGAATCTTGTCACCTTCTACCTGCCAGATCTTTTCCTAATTTTATTAATTACTCATTTAAGAATCTTCTGGATAAAGTCAAACCTTTCCTGACAACTTCTCTAGCATTTTCTCCTCCCACTCCACACACATCCTTCCCATTACCCATACTAAGGCATTTGTAATGTCACGATCTTAGTCCTCTATGACACTGGCAATGATATTCCGGCTAGACTGAGCATCCTTGCCACCTCTATGCCCCAGCCCATCTGCAGCTACATAGTGAACAACTCCTTCTCTAAAATCACCTGCTCTAATAAGCTTTTACAGGTATTCCCATATCCCAAAGCAGAAATGACTATTCCCCCTTTTTGCCTAATTGTTACCATCCATATACTTTTAGCATATATTTCTAACTCATCCTTCTTAATTTTTTTTTTGAGACAGAGTCTCGCACTGTCATTCAGGCTGTAGTGGAGTGACACGATCTTGACTCACTGCAATCTCTGCCTCCTAGGTTCAAGCAATTCTCCTGCCTCAGCCTCCCGAGTAGCTGGGACTACAGGCATGTACCACCACGCCAGCTAATTTTTTTGTATTTTCAGTACAGACAGGGTTTCACCATATTGGCTAGGATGATCTCGATCTCCTGACTCGTGATCTGCTGCCCTCAGTCTCCCAAAGTGCTGGGATTACAGGCGTGAGCCACCGCGCCTGGCCCTAAGTAATAATTTAAGGGTGGAGGCCATGTGCTATTCATCTTCACGTATCCAGTACCTACAAAATGTCTTTATTCAATAAGTTTATTAA